GTGAGGGGCCCAACACTGAACAGTTTTTTTTCTGCTGGTTGCTACTAAAGGCAGACCTTGGCATCATGCCTCTGTCCTTGCACAGGGATCTGCAGGTAGCTGTTTAAATACCACCTACTCCTGTCAAAACAGGGAGTGTCCGTGAGGACTGGGCTCATCTGGTGCCACGTCGCCTGATCTCTTTTATTGTGGACGTTGTGCGAATTTCAGCTCAAAAGCAAATAAACTCTCGGAGAGATAACCCGCTCTGACACAGGCTGCAAACACAGCTGGCTTGTCCCTGCAGCGCAGGTCACTGTCTGTCTCTGTCCAAAATAAATATTTTGGCCCTTGTAACATCCCACAACAGACCACAGACATCCTGGAGCTGAACAGGGCTGCTGAGCCCAGCAAAAGCGCCAAGGGAGCAGCAAGCCCCAGCAGCATCCCCCTGCCCACACACAGCCCCCACACCAGGAGGGCACAGCCCGTGTCCCACCCAGCTAACGGGGCTGCACCAGGGGCTGTGGACAACTTAACACCTTGTGTTTCAAAAAGAAGTGGTGAGGGAGGGGGAGACCTGGGGATCTCACTGATACCTGGATCGGACATCTGGGTGTCTACGCCAAAGCCCTTTCTGAGCTGTTACCAACTTCAGACTCCAATGGGAGTTTTGAGCTCAAATACTGAAAACGTCTCGATGCCAGATGAAAAAGGCAGCCTGAGCTGCCCCAAAGTGTGGCTTGTACCATAGGGAAGGGAACAAAGCAAGAACCAATCCTGTACTCACCAGTGTAAGGAACTGAAGGAAGAAATTCCTCAAACATTCATGGACACAGAGAACCCCAAGGACAAGCTGTGGCCTTGGGATGAGGCTAAGGAACGTCCCCCAAGGAAGGGGGAGTGTGTGGAAGGATGCACCCCCCACCCCCTTGCAGTTGCATGGTCAGACTCCTTAGAAAAGCCTCCGAGGGGAGACATGGACTGAGTGAAAATAAAATGTTTCCCCTCAAGCACAAGTACCACTGATCTCTGGCTCTACCTTTGCCATTGAAGAGGTGACAAGAACTGACAAGAGGGGAGCATTTCTGCCCCAAGAGCAGGATGACTGCTTAAGAAGCACGAATTCAGCAAAAATCTGTGGGAACAGAGCAAAAAACCGAAGGTGAGCAAGGGTGAGTACGACCACCGACTCGATGCATGTGCAGAACCCACGCTCCATATTTTCCCTCGTCTCTCATGGAAATAAGTTTGTGGAATTCCTGCCTCTTCTCATCTCATGTGCAAATCAGTTGATAAAATGAACCTGAAAGGGCAACAGAAACTTTGCTGGGTGTGCATCCACCACCCAGGATTACCAGACCTGAGACAACACTGGATCCAGGGTGTTGATCAGGATTTCTTTGACTCTCTTTCTCTCCTTTTTTTTTCCTTCCCTTTCTTTTCTTTCTTACAGATTTATAAGAGACCACATTGCTTATTATCCTTTTCCAAGTTTAAATTCTATTCCACCGCAAGTAAAACATTTTAACCGTTGTTTGGTGTCGTTTCACCTTAATTTAATCCCAGGGGATCACAGAACCCTTGTGACTCTTTGAGCTTCCAGTCCAGGTCGTGACAACCAGTAAGAGAAATACAACCCCTAAATAACCACCACCCTGATTTAATTTCCAGCTGAGCTAGAGGAGTATAGGGAGTAGATGAAAGTCCTAAACTTCACCCACTGCAAAGAGACAGAAAAGCTTAAAGGATTACTCATATCACTTACACATCTTTCTTGTTGAGGAGGCTTACAAGCAGGAGCAGCAATCCCCAGCGTCCGAGTACGCTCAGGGAATAATGGGGGCTCAGTGCTGTCCCGTGGAGGGGGGGACAGCGAGCAGTTGTGTAAGGTGGGTTTAAATTAAACGCTCGCATGCGGCTGGTTACCTCTTGGGCAATAGACATCCGGAGCCCATCGGTTGCACTCGTAATTATCTGCTGCCTTCTCGCAGGTGAAACACTTAAATCCGTGAGGATACGGTGTAGCTGAAAGGAATAGAAAAGATGCAGTTAAAATGAGCCAATTAATCCGGTTCTACTATGTTTTTTTTGAGGCACACAGCAACATTTGTTCTCTTTAGACACATCTTTCTACAAGTATAGCTGTCAACTTCATCAAGTCGGTCTCAATTTATAAAACTCCTATCGCCAACAGCAATGCAGGAAAGGCACGTACAATACAATAATGACTCAGTTCAGCTGTGTTTATCTAAAAAAAGTGCCCACTGCTGACTTCAAAGGGAGTTAATGTGAGCAAGGAGTACTTACTGCCTTGGTATCAGAGCTCACATCCAATACTGCTACTTTATCAGTGCTGATAACAAAATATCAGATGGATTAAAATACTTCTGGAAACTGTCCCACGGAGGAAGCGAGCTGCCCCCTTTGAAGGCAGGCTGATGTCCCCAAAGGACAGAAAAATCAGTTTGCTGAACGTCCAGTTTTTAACAGCAGACTCTGTCCTAATTTATCTTGCCAAACAAAGAGGGTAACTTCTTAAGTGGTCTCCTGGCAGGGCTTCTGTCGCACATTCAATACATCTTGAAGATGCTGCCACCTTCTCAGAAGCCAAATGGTGAATGGGTCACGTTTATCTCCATGGGGCGAAGTAAGATGAACCCCCGCAGGCCACATCCCACCTCTCCCTCTCCTCCTCTTGCACACCAGCTCCAGGCCAGACCCCGTTTGGGTACGAGAGGTGAAGCAAGAGGCATTTGCTGCTTGTTTCCCCAGGCTCCTCTAGGTAAGGGCCAACAAGTCACCTGGGAGCATCTCTGGGGGCACTGGTGCTGCCCTCAAGGAACAGCTTGGGGTGGGACAACACAACAGCACTAATTAAATCCACCCCTCTCACCCCAGACCTCTAGCAGGTCGTGATTATGGCATAAAATGGGAATTTCAGTTTGCTTGTGCAAAATACAAGTTTTTCAACCAAATTTGGAAAGGTGGCGAGTTTTCACTGGGAACAGATGGCAGGCACAGTGCTCTGCTGCTGGAATTAAGCAAGTTTGTATCTGATGAAGTGAACAGACTAAAAGGAGAGTCCATGGAAGACCCAAACATGCACAACTTTGCTGTAGCGATGCTTCAGGGAGTTACTGAAATAACACCAGGAGGTGCCACGGCTGTAACGGTCGCGTTCGGCCCCTGCTCGCAGCCATCGACGTGCCCGGGGAAGCCACGTGGCCATGGAGCTTGTTCTCATGGCCAGAGAGGTTCTTGAGGAACAGAAAATAGAGAACAAAAAGTTCCTGACACACTCAGTGACTGCCTGTAACCCCAACCATCCTTTAATCCCGTGGGGAAACAACAGTCTGGTTTTACATCAACTTGGTTCTACGAGCACTGGGGATGTTTATTTAATTTCTGGCTCAGCGCTCAGATGTTTCTGCTGCCTTAAGGATCATTCATCCTCGTCCTTACCCCCACGCCGTGGCCGGCCGTGGCTTTGCAGCCAGCAGGAAGGTGCTTACTGGAAGGGTGGAGGTAGACGATGTCCTTCACGGTGAAGTCCCGGGGCTGGGCAGCCGGCAGGCAGCCGGTCAGCAGGCTGAGCAGCAGCACCCACCCCGGCGTGGGCTGCGAGGCCATCGCCGGGCGAGGACGTACTCATGCGGCGGCCGAAAAAATCTCACCTGGGCAACAGCAGAGAGTAAAGGGTGAGGAGAGCGAACCCGCAAGGAGCCTGGCCACCACCTCAGCCCCCAGCAACCTGACCTCACCCAGACCAAGACGCTCCTGTGAACCTTCAGCTGCCCTCCCGTGGGGGCAGGCAGCCGTGTGGTTCTTTGGGCTCAGCTTCAGGGACATTCCCGGCATCACCTGGGAAAATGATTCGGGAATGTGATCCTGTGGTTTGGACGGGCTCTGAGGAAGGATTTCTGTGCAGAAGGGGCTGTTGGGCGTTGGAATGGGCTGCCCAGGGCAGGGGGGAGTCCCCGGGATCCCTGGAGGGGTTGAAGAGTCGGGCTGAGCCAGCGCTGAGGGATCTGGGGGAGTTGGGAACGGTCAGGGGGAGGGTCATGGTGGGGCTGGAGGAGCTGCAAGGGATTTTCCAACCTCGAGGAGTCTGTGAAACCCTTTCCTGAGGCAGACAGCTGCAAACAGGAGCTGAAGGGAAGGGCAGTTGGGTTTGTCACTGTTTACAATTTAACCAGTCAGTGACTGGGTTACAAAAACCTCAGTAGGATGTTGATAAAGTCACTGGAGACCACACTGCCACAGGATTTAATCTGCTTCATTTAGAGAATGCTGGAAAATTGCAGAATTGGACAGGGAAGAATGGAAATGGGGTAGCTGGAGACCCCTTGGGATGTCCAGGAGAGCAGCGACGGGTCTGCCACACTCCAACACAGGCTCTCACCCTGCAAAAATGCACCTTTTTGGCAAACCAGAAGCTCCACTTTACTTTCCACATAGCTCAGGAAAGGTGAGGAGCTCCAGCTGCTGCAGGTTGTCTCTATCTTCATCTGGCTGCTGTTAATAACATAAAGCGACTACTGCATTTTCCTCATCCGTGCTCCAAAGGGCCTTATTCCCTCTGTGAGGCTGTTAACAAACCATGCAGTGTGTTCTTCACACGTCCCTGGACTAAGGGAACTAATTTAAGCAGAAAGAAATATCCGCTGCAGTACCACCCATGAAGCCATCCCCAAACCAGCAGCTTTCAGGAGTGTCCCAAACCCTGCACCCAGGCGGTGGGGAGCCATCCAGGAACAGACAACATCATTAAATATAGCTGATATTATTACATTTCCTTAAAAATTATGAAAATGTGCCTCAAAAAACTGAGTGGGACAGGAAATCCCCGAGAGGACGCGGCTGCTGAGCCAGGCAGGAGCCACCGGTTTCCCCTGGCCACTGGCGTCCATCCAGCACACACAGGGCTGGGTTTGTTTTTTTTTTTTTCCACTCGGGCTGACCAAGAAATCTGCAATATCCAGATATATCCTAAGCGACTTCAGAAGCATGGTAGCTATTATTTTATATATATATATATATATATATA